TTTTAAACTGTTTTCGATACTCAGAGATGTGGGATTTCATAGAGTTACCGCGTTATAGTTATACGAGCAGTGATTACGAAATGTTTGCTTCCTACCGGTGCTTTTGATTTAAGCGTTTTTTTTTGACTCGGAGGTTTTTGGACTTGGGATGTGCTTGCAGGGGTTTCGCATTTTTTTTTATTAATTCAAGATTTTATTTAAATCAATTTTCAAAGAGTAATATTTTAAAAGAACTATTTTACACTCATGTTTATAGGATTCAATGTTAGAAGCAAGTAATAATAAATTGCTTTTCATTTTAGGTACATTGCGTTACATTTATCACGTATCATATTAAATTTAGCATTCATCGTTGCTTTGAATTTTCTATCTTTTTTTGAGAGCTTACAACTTACATTGTTTTCTCTGTTCATCATTCTCGGTTTATGCAAATTGTTCATTTATTGTTTTTTTGTTTTCCAGAAAGTAATTCAGTAATGGATGGCAATTCAACTCCAACACCAAGTGGTGGTGGATCGGTAAAAACTAACAGTATGATATATATATGTGGAGGTTGGTAGAAGCTATTTTAATGATGATTAAATAATCACAAATTGAATTTGTATGATTTTTTGAATCCTGTCATTCATTTCATCTTGGTTTGATGGGTAATTCCTTCTAGGTTTTATCTTTTTTGTAACAGGTCGAAAATGATTACCTCAGTGTTTTATTTTCTACAGTTTTTTAAAATTTGTTAAAAAAAATTTTCTTTGAGAATGCCACAGCGAAAATGAAATTCGTCCAAAAGATGCGATTAGGTGTCGAGAATGTGGCTATAGGATATTATATAAAAAACGCTGTCGGAAATGTAAGTTACAAGAGCTCTTCTGTATAATCTTGGCTAAAAAATTTTTTAGTCTACCCTCTTTTTTTTTCTGGTTATCATGAGGACTTTGTTCGATTTTCCTACATCACGAATGTTCAGTCTATTCACCATAATTTTTTCGGGAAACGATAGAGATATTTTTTCGTCGTTTGGTTAAAGACACAACATTGAATAACAGATCTACATTCTTACCTGAGAGTATCATGTTTTATTTAATTTTTTAGCAGTAACTCTTCTGATCTTCGTGAATTCCATTTTTTTCCCCTCTCGTTAGCATTACTGACTGGATTTTTCAGTTTTCTTTTAAACGTTTAATTAAAAGAAGATATCTGAATCATTACAAAATAGTAAAGTTGGCATTTCTTGAGAATTTCATTCGAATAAATAGATTTTATAATTTGCTTCTCTATATTTTTTTTTTTTGTTTCTCCTGTTTGCATGAAATTGGTTGAATTCTAGGAATTCTCGATAGAATTGACTGGGTGGGATTGGGAATTTATGATGGAAAATATGAAATTAATAACCTTCGAAAATTTTAACATTTTTAAAGCTATATGATGAAAAAAGAATGGTTTGAAGAAATTAAAAATGTTCTTTTTCAGTGATGGTTTATGATGCACGTTGAGAATGGTAGAAACTCCAAAAATAGTTGCAAACATGATTTTTATTTTGCTTATTGTAGATTTTATGTTGTATAATGTGTTAGAATGGGACATAAAAATTTATCTGATAAATTTATATAATGTGAGAAAATATTGGAGAGTAAAAATTTGGCATTATCTTCACGTAGATATGAGGGCATCCATATGTTATTAAGTTTGCTTTGACCTAATTTCTTCATCACTTATCAATTGGTACTGCGACAGAATATTTTTAAGAGAAAACGTTAATTCTGCTTCCTACTGATATTGTGTTATAGTGAAGGGAATTGTGTCGTTATCATAATTATAGATTTGATATTCCTGATGATAATACCGATGGAATGGAGTCTTGTGCCATAAATTTTAGAGAACAATTGTTCCAAAATTATCTATTTATGTCAAAAAATCATAAACATTTTTTGATTTCTGTTTCACACTTTATGGGCTTATTATCATTTCCATCATCTATTTACATATTCTTCTGAATTCCTATGCGTTATAAATTTTATTATAAAATTTTAAAATTAACTCAAGTTAATACTTTCGTTATCCGTCAAAATCTTTTCGATTCAGTGCTGATCATGTTAGTGCAATAAATTTTTATATATGAACGGCTTAAATGATCCTTTTTTTCTGCAACGAACAAAATAATTTTATTGGTTTTTCCGATTTTTCTTTGCTTTCAATAACAGTTTCATGAAAATTTTTGTTTAGAAGTTATAATTTAAAATTCAAAAAGTAAAAAATTGCAACATTTTTTACTTTTTGAATTATTTAAATGTCAGCATAATGTGGGTAATATTTTTGCTAATGATTATTTATGAAATGGTCGGTTCATATTTTCTTTTTTATTCAAGCAAATGTGGGAATGAATCACTTGCTTAACAAATGTGTGGTTTTACTTTATGTTTATAAATGATAGTCATTACATAAAGTTTTTGATGGACGATGAAGCAAATTTCAATCAATCAACCTACTAATAAATTCATAAATTGATAATTGGTTTGGTAATAAATCAGTTATTTGATTTGATAAATTAATAAATTATGAATTGGGGCGTGGTATGAGCAAACAAAAGGGAATTTGAGCTCACTTTCGACAATATTTCTTACAAATTGTTACTGATAAATTTTACAGGATAATATTGACCAAAAAGTAATCAGTTCGATCCTTAAATTTACATCAATCAGTCTTTAAATCAATCCAAGTACCATTTCTATTTTTTGCTTTATTCTTTTTTCAAAAATTATGACTGTTGTACTTAAATATCATGCATGGAACATCTAGTCTTGGTTCCTTGATAAATCAAGATATTACATTTTTTTTGTTCAGATTTTTATATCAGTTGAATTCAATTGATACTAATAGTATTCGATTCAACATTCAAATGATGATTATTACATTATCAGCAGTAATTATCACTTTGTTTTTATTGTTACCTTTATGTACCTGTAAAAGGAAAGCAAAGCCCGAGAAATTTACAAGCAAAGCAAGGAATTTTTCCATTATCAAAAAATTAATGGAATAATTTTAAACTTTTAACAAAGATTAACCACGTTTTGAAAAAACTAAAATTTGATAATAATTTTAATTCATTAATCATTCACTCTATGATGCATAAATATTATCCTAGCCATTTATATCGATTTTATAAATTTTGCAAATGCATATATAATTTTTATGCAAATAAAAATAATTGAAAGGTAGAGAGAATTACAGATAAAACCACAAAATATCATCATTAAAGAAAAAGAAATGGAAGAGATGGAATTTGAGCGTGCAAAGACAATTGCACAACCAATGATTACCGCTATCGAATCACTTAAAAAATCATCGAAAAAAGATGTGAAAATTGCAAATAAAATTCAAAAACAACTGTCTGTAAATATTTGTTTTTGTATTTTTTTTCCATTCAGTCTCTAATGAATTTATAAAATTATAAAACTTTCAGTAGAATGAAATGTTTTTAGGCATTGTAGAAGAAAAAAAATTAGGTATGCGTTAAGTTAAATGATTGTAATAACTTTTATATATGCCAAATAAATAAGTGACAATTATTCACGAATGATGGTTAACCTTTTTATCAGCTTCATCAATGATTAATCTCATCACGATTTACACAACCCAGTAATTTAATGATTGAAAAAAATGAGGTGAAAAGAGGAAAAAAAGTGCGAAAAAAAATTTTTATTTAAAAATAATTCTCCAAAATTATCTGAGGAAGGATGCACAAACTGTTGCATTTCACGATTGTTTTAATTTTTCGTAAATATATGAAGTGATAAATTATGTAAATGATGCAAATATGTGATGAAAATAATCGCACACTAAATTTTAATCAAATGAACATTTTTGATTTTTACAATGTGAACAAAAAAACTAATCGTTATATATGTGTTTCTGTTACATATATGCAATTACTTTAACTTTTATCACAAAATAACTTATGATTTCTGGTTAATCTATCATTTACTCCAAACGCTACTAATCAAAATTGGCTGACCATTTGTTCCTCATAAGAATGGCTATTGTTTTTCAGAATCTGGAAACTGCAAAATCTTACAAATCTGATGTACATGATACCGAAGAAACACAGTGCTCTCAATCAGTAATTATTTCCTTGTTAAATCATAAAAGTTAAATTAATGGTATAATTAAAAATTTAATTTGAATTATATGTTGAATGTTTTATAAGGTATATAATTTGAAAACTATACGAAATCAATCATCGCTAATCACATAATTTTCCATCAAATTGATTTCTCCCACTGAAACGCTTTGCAGAAGAATAATTAAGAATTTATGCAGGAATCGATGGGAAACATTGAGGAAATTAGAGAAAATGAAAAGGAAATTTTCGAAGTAAACAAAAGCCAAAAAACTTCATCACACAGTACACTTCAGGTGCACATTTAAATTCATTAAACCTTTCGAATATATTCTAAAATAAATTAAAATTAAAATCACACGCTCACAACCATATAATTTATTTGAAAGATAGCTTAGATACTTTGAAAGATTACAATATTATAAATGTTTGATATTTACCAATAAAATCAACCGTCATATCCATCCATATGTTACATTTCATTTATTGCGAGAATGAATACATCATCGATTCTGTTACGTCATTATTACTGTAATTTGTACTCTTACAACATGTCAACCGCGGTTTCCGCGATATAATTTTTCAGATAATGATTATTTTCCGAGCTTTAATTCTTCTTTTGAACTGCAAGTAACTTTAGCTACACTTTGCAGCACGTGCAACCACGAGTACGATTTTTCGAAAGAGCAAAAGAAATCGAACAGTGCGAGCCAATCGATAAATATCGAAATGAATATAGAACTTTGATACTTGATGAGGATAAAAATCGTATTACACAGAATATTTATCCCCGAGAGGCAAGTTTTAAGTTAAAAATTAAAATATACTTAATTTTAGTATACAATTACTTATGTATGCCACAGAAGTTAACATTGCTAACATTTTCTGTTTTTACCCTTTGATTTAAGTTTATTTCGAAGCCAGTAATATTTTCTCTAAGCAGAATTCAAAGAAAGCGAATCTACATTTAATTTTGAAGTGTTCTGTTATCTCATTCCGTCAAAACTCGAAGTCCATTATTACACTTACATTTCATATTACGTCCTAAACTCAGAAACAACTCTTTTTAAAGGTTCGACAACAAGATATAACCGAATACAAAATTGAAAAATACAATGTGGTTGGTTACCAAATACCGGAGATTTTAGAATATACATGCAGGGAAGATAACTTTTGAATTATTATTATTATTTTACTATTGTTTTTGCGAATTATAAATTTTTTCATTGATAAAAGTGTGTGTATTTAGACAATAATGTTCGTTTTTGTTTTTTATTTTAGATTACATTCAATCAACAGTAAAATTTTTACACATTGAGAAACTAAAAAATAATTCAAATTACGACTGTAAAAGTAAAACTACAGGTCTAACATTGCTCATGCTCATCATCTATTTCCAACATTTCACGCATTAAGGTTAATGGATTCAACTGCATACACAACATATCATTACTACTAACTGCGTCTCGAAAATCGTAATCAGATAAATCACCGCTCTGTATGTCTCGAAATATCCCAGCCAATATTCGACGTCTTTTCTCGTGCTTTGGATCATCAACTTCCTTTTGGATTTCTTCCAAAATATTCAAAATTATAGCGGAGTCTGCAATGTGAACTGTAGTTTGTGCGTATAGCTTGAAAATTGGGATAAATAACCAAGTAGGATAATTTGGTTTTGACAAGAAAAACAACAGTTTGGTACTACACAGATGTTAAATCAGAAGTATATAAAGACAATCTCCCATAATGATTTCCAGGTAAATGAACTCAAACAGCACAAAACCTTCAAAAGTAGAGAAAACATTCACCAATAATGTTATGAAAATATTATAAATGTCCGAAACTTGACATATCCAATGCACAGTTGCATCAGACTCCTATCTATCATCTCTATTACAATATCTATCTACTTGACTCGGAATAGTAATGGATCTATCGCAGTAATCCAAATTGATTCATCAGAAACCGAATTAAGAGAAAGAATTAACCGAAAGGTTTGCAACCCAATGTTGACATTCCTGAAAGGCATGTCTGCAGGAAACGATAGTAATCGGCACAATCAACAACTTGTCTTTTATTAGCACTACGACAATACGGCGAGTCGGTAACCCGAAAATATTTCCTAGTATCCACAGATGCTGGTCGACATTTGACTTCATGTGCCAAATAATCCTTAAACCAATATTGCTCAGCTCATATTTAATGTATAACTGTATACTTAATTTACTGTACGAAAAATATTCAGTTGAACCATTGAAAATTTATGATTTTTTAATATCAGTCGTGTGAGAAATTTCGAGGAGCAATGATAAGAATTTGAATCAATTTCAGTTTACAATCATAAAGATTATGTGGCAGATGATGTAATACTACTTTTCCAGATAAATTTATAACTAAGACAGGAAAAATTTGGACAGCGACAAAAGAATTAAGAATAATAAGATTGCACTTACTCCGCTGTTCTACTTATGACATTATTGAAGTTATAATTTTGCAAATATAGTGCAATAAAAGAAGTTAAGAAAATAAACATGAGAGAAATAAGTAAAATCAAATAAAAAAAACGCACTAGCAATGCTGAGTCAGTATAATCATTAATTCGGCGTTTTCGATTCTGAATAACGTGGACAGCGCTTGACCAATCTTGGATCTGGAAATTTTCTGTATTTAAAACAGATCATAACATTACTTCGAAATATAAATTTTTAGAGGAAACAAGCGTGCAATGAACATATAACATATGTGAAACAAATGATTCACTACAATTTCGTACTTCAGGTTCGATAAATCTTGAACTGTAACATATGACTTAAATAGCTTGTCAAAACACGGAAATTTAAAATTGCAGAAATCGATCAGTACAATCGATGGATAAAATTGTCGTGCCATGAATCTCATCAAAAAAAAAAACTAATTTTGAATACAGACCAAATTCAAAGCAAATAAAAAAATTACCTCACTAGTTTTAGAAGGTAATATAATTTCCTCCAACCATTCTGTTTTTCGTGTTTCAACTCGCATTTCATGCCTTAGTCGAATCAATTCACGAAGTCCAGAAATTTTTTCACGTATGTCAACCATCGAACGATTTGGGATATTTTTTGTTGCATGGAACAAGCAATTATCCTTTATGCCATAGCTAAATGACGTGCAAAAATCAACAGACTAAGTATTCTTCAATATTTAAATAAATAAAACTTAAATTTAAGACAAATCCGGTGTTGAAATCTCTGCACTTCAAAATACCAAACAGCAAAAAAATATATATTTACTCCATCATAGTCTGATGCTCATTTGCTTGCATTTGACTCAAAAAATTCATCAGTTTCATGAATTCGTGCCAAAAGCATGAAATTAGAAGACAAAAGTTGTTCTAATTTAAATAAACTTAATGAAAAATTTTCAACATTAATAATGAAATAACAAAATGATTAAAATTAACTTACGAATTTATACAGTTGTGCAAGGTTTTGAGCTCATCAATTGTCCATTCCTTGCCTTCATCCTAACAAAAATCCCATCATTAGCAACAGCAGCCTACAGACGAGAAAGAAAAAAAAAATTATATTTACCCAAATCTTCATAAAACAAATTAAAATAAACAGCTTCATACCTCTTTCAAAGGCGGCAAAGTGGTATTATATACAGGTTTTTTATCTCGATCACCAAAATCGAATTTCCCACTTAGAACCTGAAATATATATTGAAAATACATTTGCCCGACAAAATTTATGATATTTTTCTATAGAAGCATATTAAAATTGTAAGAAAAATTTTTCACCTGTTCATGTTCTTTTGTACTAATTATTCTCTTAGATCGATCGCTGGAAGTCCGTTCTGAACGATTCCCTCTTTGTTGGACTTCAACTAGAATATAATTGTATTCAAATAACAAACAAAAATAATATGTTTTAATATATAATATCACGTTTACTGCAAAATTCTCTGTGTACTCTAACATCAAATATTGTTCATTTTGACATCAAATATTGCTCTGAAGCAGTCTAATTATTAAACTATCATTAGCTGTAAAAGGTTCATTCTTAAAACTCTTATCCACAAGTAATATAAAAGTTTCTAAAATGATATCAAAATTAAATTTAAAAGAAAGAGGTCAAAATACATTCAACTGGTGATAGTTCATTGCATTCATCATTCTGAATGATCGTGCTTGCAAGAGTGGATGATTGAGACTGAGAAGTGGATGGTTTTTGTTGATCTTGCTTACTGATAGCTTCGTTATGCATATCAATCTCGTTACTAGCCATTAGCTTATCACTTTACGATCATCAACAACGAACAAAATTCTACACAAAAATTTTTATGGATGAAAAAAGTTACAACAAAAATGGCAAAATATATCAAGCATGATTAATAAAAATTAAACGTCAATCCATAAATATTTCATGCCTCAAATTTGAACTCATACTGTCAAAAAATAAACAATACAATGAATTATAAAAATCAGGCAGTCGTATTCTCTCCAGTCCAACTATTGATATGATATATCATCTGGACTTTTACTACTGATAGTGTCATAAGCTTTAACTCTATTTGAAACACTATTTGCAAAAGCATCAATTAGACATAAACGAAACCATTTTATGGCACCAACTTGCAAGGCACAAACGGTACCATCCCGTAAGACACCGAGGACCCATTGCGTACGGTAATTCACGGAGGATCGAGAATACCTTTACCACTTGCTATGCTTTCTGCTCATGTAAACATATATTTCTTTGTTTTCCGATGTTGAAATAATGGTACAGTCAGTGCGGTAATTTGTTGGTACCATTGGTTCCGTTCCAACTACCTTATATTCATGTCCGCTAACGGTTTTTCCCACCGTTTACTCGCTTATCTGTACATATTATTACAAAATTGTAAGCATAATTCATTCTCTTTTCGTAAGTATTTTCTTTCAATTTAAATTTAAAAATTTCACAGTTTAGTTTTTGCCCGTTTTTGCTGTATGTTATGAAGTTTTTCTTTTTCTCACTCATACTGTTTTGAAATTTAATTTGAAATTAGCTACAGAATTGATTTCTTTTTGTTTTTGTTGTAATTTAATTGTTTTGTTTTGAATTTTTATTGTCTGTTGATGAAAAATAAATTGAGCAAGTGAATGCTATTTTAAGGAAATAATAAAACAAAAAATTAAAAGACTTATATTAAATTACAACTTTCAAATTCAAAATCGTCATTTATCGTTACGAATGGTTCAGTTTTTTTCTAATCAATTTTATTTATCATATATTATAGGTTCCAAAAATATGGCCCTTATAAATGATGTGACGAATAAAAAATTGGAAAAATTCCGTTCGTTATTCACACATGACGATATTATTAAGAGTGCTGGTGGTGCTATCGATGCTTATCTGTTGCCAAGTACTGATGCTCATCAGGTATGTAATTTTAGCTTTTAAATTTTACCACCCGAAGTAATTAATGATGGCTCAAATAATGCAAAAATTATTAATTAATCAATCTCTAAATTAAAAAATCAAGTCGAGGAAAACGAGAGCTTTTTATGGCAGAAGAATTTATCAAGTAAAAATAATCCAAGTAAATCTTTCTTTTGTAAAAATTCCGTGGCATTGTTCGAAATACATTCAGTACATCATTCATTATCTGTAATTTCAGAAGAAAGGGTAAACATTGTGATTACTTTACCAACTATTTCAATTGCTATTTAGTCAAAATTTAATTATCGCTTAGGGTTAAAAATATTTGACTTTGATTATACTTTCAGCGTCAAGATATTATTTATATAAAAAATTAGTTAGAAATTGTTTTGTTACAGCTTTTGAAAGTTGGAAAGATCTTGATAATGAGAAGGATGTGATCTTATGCGTTCTGCTGCGTTTATAAATTATTAGTTTTGTTAAATATTTTGGTATTATATTTCAATTCATGTTTTGTTAAATATTTTGGTATTATATTTCAATTTATCTTAAGTTATAGATGTAATGCACCACGTTACGCATAATGCATACCTTATAAAAGCAAAAATTGTTGCTTTTTCCTTATCATTCTCCAGTTTCTTTTTTAAATAACACATTCTTATTCACTATAGCAATATGATATGGTTCTTTTTTGAAGTTCCTATAAATCATTCTAAACCTTTCATTTTTCTGAATCCATTCGATTTGGCATCAAATAGCTTTAGATTTAAAAAAAGTATTTGTTGTAGATTGTTTTGCTCATTCAAGATCTAGAAATCAGTTTATTACTTTTTGAATTATTCCTTAAATAACTCTTTTATCCTCCAGAAACTAACTTATTTAGCTCTTATCAATGAAAAACAAATAATATACTAATAAACAACCCTACTATTGTTGTATTTTTCAGAGTGAATATATTTCGAAACGTGATTTCCGTGTCCATTTTCTTACTGGATTTTCTGGATCAAACGCATTTGCATTAATAACACAAAAAGAAGCAATGGTTTGGACTGATGGTAGATATTTTTTACAGGTATAATATTCAATTCATATCAAGATCATACTTCGTTATTGGAAAGCACATGAATTATTCCTTATTATCGAGCTTTAAATTCATCTAGAATTTAGGCGCAAATTGAACTGGAACCAGGATGGAAATTGATGAAGGACGGTATTCCAGATGCAATTTCAACAACTGATTGGATGATTCAGAACTTAAGCAAAGGTAGTCGAGTGGCTTTCGATCCAAAATTGTGTACACATGGTATATTTGATCATTCTTATTTCTCATTTTTCAACAAGATTACAATTTAATTTGTTGTTTGTATGATATAAATACCATATGCCTATGTACATTTATAATACATTGTGAAAATTTTCAGGATGAAAATTACTTTATACATTTTTTATCATAGTTTATAATCTTAGTAATTTAATCTTTTAGCTGAAGCTTTGCGAATAATGGCTGTACTAAAAAAATTTGATATTAATGTTGTGCCTTTGAGAGGAAATTTGGTCGACTATTTATGGCATGATAAACCGGAAGAAAATTCAGGGAAGGTAAGTTTCACATATTTGCTTAAGGGGAAGCTCAAATTATGGCTTGTAAAGTTCCAGAATTTTCTATTTTTCATCCATCAAGTTCAATTTAAAGTTTATATTGGCAGAAAAGTGAGATTTGAATATATGTCTAGCGTAGCTTGGAAAGCAAGCAACATTCAGGTAAGAATTAGAACTAGATATTTTCCCACACGACAAACATAACGTCTATGTATTCATGCGATACATCTTCAACCGCACTTTCGATTTTAGATTATGATAATGAAGGAAGATGAACATGGAATGGAAACGACCAAAAAAATTGAGAAAATACGGCATGAATTACAGCTAAAAGGCTGCAATGCAGCAATTTTTACTATCCTGGACGATATTGCATGTAAGTGTAACAATATAGTCTTATATGAGTCAGTTTATGCTGTTCATGCTAACAACTGATCTCTAACTTCGTGCTGCTGACAATTAAACATTTAAATCCTAATCCTATAATATCGCAATTTTTTAGTTTTCAGGGTTACTAAACATTCGTGGTTCGGATATTCCGTATAATCCGGTTGTTTATGCGATTATTTTCTTTACTCCCGATGACGCTCATTTATTTATCAGTAAACGAAAATTAAACAGTGAAATACTGAATCATCTTACAAACATAGTAATTCATGAATACAACGAAGCAACTGAATGGATTGGAAAATGGCTTCGAAGTCATAAAGGCCAATACAAAGTAAGTGTAATTAAGTTCGTTTAATTCACCAATAATATATGAGTCGTGAGAATAAAACGAGATAACTACATTGAAAGCGATGTGATTTTAATATGAAAGAGTGAATGATTAAAAATAATTTAAATATCTTTCTAAAATTTACTACA